TCCAGCACAACACTGACGTTTCTCGTTTATAAACTGTCTAGAGGCCATGTATTTAAACTCCCACTAATCATTTTTTAAAGTCAAAATTAAAGACATGCTGTCTAACCAATATGTAACATCTTTTCAGTAGATCTAATGCACTAGCAAAGAAACTAAAAGGAAAGGGTCATTTGTACTCACTCCGGGGAATAAATGCTTTTCCTTTATCAAAACAGTCTTGACTGCTCATTAGCTTAAAAACTGGCACTAATTACACCACTTTCTATTTCTAGTTATATAAATAGGTGTCTTAAAATTTCTGTTCCAACCTGCTGTTCTCCGCAGACAATCTGTGAATTCAGTGAGTAAATTCTGGTTGCTTAAGTGTTTTCCACATCTTACTGACCTGGACATACAGCCAAGAATTCTATATCACATAAGAAATCTGTGTCTTTCACTACAGCAGTTGCATAACATTCCACATAATCTCAAAGCTATCATCACTATATAACCAAAACAGCAAGTAGCAACTACCCATAAATAGCAAAGCAAATAAGCAGAATAATCTTACTATTCATTCCTGATCCAGTGAGAAAACGTTTTGCAACTTTGAGCATATGCCTTTGAAAAACAGCATTCTGTGGTTCTTTTCACTGCATGGTGACACTATCCCCAATTATACAAAACAGTAAAGAAACCAAGCGTCTGAGCATTTTCTGTAGACAATTACGCGATAGGATTAGATAGATGGTGAAAGGAGTAGAATGGAACAAGTAAACAACCGGATCTTCATTATCAGAGAGGTGCTGAGCACCCACAGCTCCCTCTAAATTAGATTGGGCAACTCTTTAATATGTCTGCCTTTAATCTTTGTGCCTAAAAATCTTAAATTCAAATTTATACATTTTCATAAACAAGCATCATAACAAATGCTGTGAGGTTCAGGTATCTTATTTATGCACAGCAAGGAAGAGCTGGATGAGAGAAATAGGAGGTCATGTAGCTTACGATCGGAAAATACACATTTAGGGGACGCGACACAGTGGATTCTGTGCATTTGTAAAGATAAAGGAAGCCCTCGGGTTGGCTTTACAATTATTTTCATATAGCCCTTGATACCACAACACCTGAGGTTCTCAGTCATTAACAGATTTTATCTCCAAAATAACTCTTCTAAGAAAAAGGGAGGAATTATCATTTCCATTTAATGACTGAAGAATTAAAGACCAAGGTAGATGGAGAGATTTACCCAAGGACATGGGGCACACTTACAAGAAACCTGAGAAAGCTTTGAATTCCTTTAACAGAAAGTGTTTTTGTCTTCTGGATCTTAAGTAATGTCATAATCATTTCATTTTCTCATTCCACTGACAGACATACAGTGAATGGGAAAGTCATCCTGTTTGCAGAATAACCTAGCTATGATTGATTAATTTAAAACCATTATTCCTTTACCATTTCTGAGCTTACATTGCCTGATCACAGTATGCCCAATGCTGAGAACAGAATTGCTAAGATGTCAATGGAGTAGGCTACAGAGGAGATGTAATGAGAAAATAAGACTTCTACGGGAAAAGTCTGCGACAGAAATACTTACTTGCAACAAAAGCTACAATAATTTATTTTGTGAACTTAGTTAAAAAAAAAACATACAAAAAAAACAATGAAATGTTGCGAATGTATACAAATCCACAGTTAGCGAAATAGTCTAACACAAAACTGAAAGCTTAGCATTCACTCAACATCCTTTGTTACAAAGAACTGACAAATACACCTGCACTATTTTTACTCTAAATTTACTTTTTTACTCTAAATTTACTCTGAGAGGTAAACGAGATTCCCTTTCCTTTTTATACATCACATGCAAGACTGAGCTAGGTTTGTGTTTTACTGATCAAAAAAACCCAAACATTACTTTTTTGCTGTTTATCAGGTTCTTACCTGAGAAGAATAATAGCAGGTGCAACTGAAGATGGGCATAACATAGGCTGGTGATAACTAGAAGTAATGAGCATTAAATCTTGTAACATTGTGTGAAAAACCATTTACCTTCTGCATCAACAACATCGCTCTTTGGGGAATTGTAGGTGACACCAACAGGAACCCATTATTTGTCTCTCAGTATTTCTGCAGCAGATGACATATGGCCCTCCGTTTGGCTCAACAGTAAAACTACCAATCCCTTAATTACTTCACATTACAGACGTTTTAGCAAATTGTGGAAACTACAATGAAATGGTTCCAAACTTCTGGTCTTTTACAGTGCCTGCTTCAGGCAGGCACTTGGAAGGGTAGAAACAGCAAATAAATGAAACACAAAGCAAACATACCTCCAGCTTTAGGAACTACAGGTTCTTCTAGTCTGGTGAAAGATCAAGAGACACGAAGAGGGGATCTTGATTTCCCTTTACAATTGCTGCGAGACAATGCAACCACAGTTAAGGAAGCATTTGATACTAAGGCTAGGCTGCTGTCTTTAAGTAAAACTGAAGAATATAAAACTGACTTCGTATAACAGTAGGGCACTGGCTTTACGGAGTAAACTGCAACAATGTGCTAGACCGGGAGCCAGAGGTACAGTGAGATGGCAGCCTACAAAAATTGTGTGGAAGTTACGACAGTTTGTAACATAAAAGGTAAAAAGTTAGATCATATCCCATTTCTAGAAAACTACTTCAGTAATGCACGCGTATCATCTACTAACAGGTATTCTCTCTTATTTTCTGAACTGCAAAAATAAAAAATAATTGCTACAGAAAACCAGTAACTTTGATCCAATAACTGCATCAAGGACTCTAAAAATTTATTTGAAAAGTAAGTAAACAAATTTTCTATTCTTCCTAATAATGGAAGTTGGGAAAGCGTATGCAAACTAAAGATTAGTTTGCAATTTGGGGAAGTATTTCTCAATAGTCACATAGAAAAATTTGAATAACTTAAATTTTGAGGAGGGCTAAGCACTCCTTTTAACACAGAGAAAGCCTGTAAGAAAAATCTATCAGCTCTGTTTTTCACAGCTACCTGTTGGTGATCACACGTGACTCCCTCCTGGCCCCAAATTCTACATGACTGAGCTATGCATGTATCACTTTCTCAAATCCCCAGCAAAAACCTTGCAAGTGCAATGCAGGAGCAAAAGACTTTTAAAAAGACCAGAAAACACTGATGCATTTCTTTTTACATCCAAAGGCAGGCTTATTCATAGTTACTGTCAAGCAAGCCCAGAGGTTGATGACTAAAAAAACCAACAAAGAACCACCATAAACAAAATAGAAAACCAAAGCCCCTTCTTTTAAATCGTTTCCTTTCTTCCACCCACACATATCCTTCAGCAACCAGCTGGAATAAGCATGAAATGAACACAGTTAATCTTGCTTTATAGTTTTGAGGGTTTAATTTATTTAAAACTTTAATACCAATTTGAATTTTCATGTAGAAGTACAGAAAGAAATCCAAACAATACATGGAAACACCCAAGCAATCTCAAATCCACTCAACTGAGGTACTAAGAACAAAAAAATATTCTAATTTAGTCTAGCCTAGTCCTGTCAGAGGCTATCAATGATATAAAGGAATATAAATGTACACTGATTACGTGATGCCACCACATGACAGAATCAATGTTATTTGCGTGTTGAGATGTATTTTTTCATGCTAACCTGTTTGATTAAAAAAAAAAATCTCCTTTTGTTAGTGTCTATAATACTTGCTTTGTAAATAATTACATTTTTGGAACTACAACTCATTCACTGTATTGCCATAACACTTAGGAGCTGTAATCACGGACAAGAACACATTGTATTAGATGCTGTAAGAATACACCACAAAAGCGATTGCTGTTTAAACACGATAAGCAGACAGTGAACCGACAGAGAAGTACAAAGAAATGATGAGACATTAGCTATCAATACAGCAAGTACAAGATTTGGCATGCCAGTTCCCAAACCGAGCTGCTGGAGACTCCAAAAAATATCTTCTCCCACATCTAAGAGGCAGAATGAAAGAAAACACTGAGCTACTTATCCAAAAATTTAACAAGTGGGTGGTGGAAGTTGGTGTCAAGAATTGGTTCGAGTTGTCATCTCGGTAATGAATCATAGGTGAAGCAGACAAAGAACAGTCTTGAAAGCTCATGGAGCACATCGCGGCGAGTGACTGACAGGGTGAGCTGGCAGAGACGTACGGCCAGGGGTCCTGGCTAGGGAAACCACCTCTGCAATTGGACTGCGGAAAGAAACAGCATTTTTACATGTACATTACTGACACACACAGCGCCCTGACTCCAGTTAGACCCAGCTTTGCTGCGGGGACTTTTATTAAACCGCAAAATGAGAGGGTTCTGCTCCTCGCTCCTCACACAACAGCCCGCAGCACAGCGCACCCCGGGACCGGAGGGTGGCTTGGGGGGGGGTCCCTAGGCCCGCCGAGCGCCTGAGGGGAGCGGGGCCGTGCGCAAAAGGCCAACGGCTGCTGCGCGCCCCAACGGCCGCCCGCGCGCTGCTGCCTTGTTTACGTCCCCGGAGCCCCCTCCCACCCGCTCGCCCCGCCCACTCCGCGCCCTCCGGCCAATCATCGACAGCCGCCGGGAGGGGGCGGGAGGGTTTTAAAAAGGGGCCGGGGGAGGGGGGACGGCGACGTCAGCCGCTCGCTCTCGCCGCGCGGCGCTGATTGGGCGGAGGGGCTGCCAATCATGTCCGAGCTCCCCGCCCCTCGCACCGCCTTGCGTGTTACTCGCGCCGCCGACTCCACGCAGCGCCTCGCCCCCGCCCTCCCGGCGCTGTGTGTGTGAGGCGCGGATTGGCTACCGCCCCGTCACTCAGCACCCCGCCACCCAATCAGCGCCGGCTCCTCCAGCCCAAGACCCACCCCCGCGGGCCTCCGGCCTCCCCCGCCCATCCTCAGATCCCTCCCCTTCCCTCCGATTGGCCCGCCGGCCTCAGACCTCCGCTCCCTATTGGCCGCCGGCCGCGCCGCTCCGCGCGGGGGCGCTCCCCCCTCCCTCCGGCGGCGGGGTGGGGTCACGTGATGTTTTCGCCGTGCCGCCGCCGCGGCTGCCCGGGGGAGCGCGAGTAGCCGGGCGCGGCGGGGGGACGGGGCCGGACCCGCGGCGCTCAACGGCTCCAACGGCTCTGCCAACGGCCCCACGGGCGGCCGCCTCCCCTCGCGTCCCCTCCCCTCTATGCGCCGCCCGCCGCCGGGGGGGCTCCTCTCCCGGTGAGGCCGGCTCGCCGCCGCCCGGCCGGCAGCTAAAATGGCGAGCGGCGTGAACGGCGCCGCCGGGGCCGAGGGGGAGTCGGGCGAGGCCGGGCGCTGCCCCTCGCCGCAGCCCCACCACCTGCTGCTGCTGCTCCGCCGCTCGCCCAGCGCCTCGCTCTGCGGGCCCCCCGAGGCCGGCGGCGGCGGCGGCGCTAGGGGCGGGCAGCCCCCCGGGAGCGCGGCCCGCGGCGGGGAGGACGTGAGGAAGTGCGGCTACCTGCGCAAGCAGAAGCACGGCCACAAGCGGTACTTCGTGCTGCGGGCCGAGAGCCGCCTGGCCCCGGCGCGCCTGGAGTACTACGACAGCGAGAAGAAGTTCAAGAGCAGCCTGCGGGCCGGCGGCGGCGCGGCGGGGCTGTGCTGCCCCCCGCCCAAGAGGGTCATCCCCCTCTACCAGTGCTTCACCGTCAGCCGGCGGGCAGACGCCAAGCACAAGCACATCATCGCCCTGTACACCAAGGACGAGTATTTCGCCATGCTGGCGGAGAACGAGGCCGAGCAGGAGGCCTGGTACCAGGCGATCAGCGAGCTGATGAGCCAGAGCAAGAGGGGCTTCCTGGAGCAGGAGGAGCAGGCGGAGCAGCAGCTGGACGAGGACGACGAGCACTACGGGGCGGCCCTGAGGCCCGGCACCGTCTTCAAGGAGGTGTGGCAGGTCAACGTGAAACCCAAAGGACTGGGCCAAACGAAAAACCTGACCGGGGTGTACAGGCTGTGCCTCTCCAGCAAGGCCATCCACCTCGTCAAGCTGAACTCAGAGGTTCCCTCCGTCCACCTGCAGCTGATGAACATCCGCCGCTGCGGGCACTCGGAGAACTTCTTTTTCATTGAAGTGGGCAGGTCCGCTTCTATTGGGCCTGGAGAGCTCTGGATGCAAGTGGACGATTCGGTGGTTGCCCAGAACATGCACGAGACTTTTTTGGAGACCATGAAAGCGTTAAAGGCCTTTGCGGAGTTCCGGCCCCGAAGCAAAAGCCAGTCTTCTGGTGGCGGTGGTGGCACCAACCCTATCTCCTTCATCACCACTAGGAGGCACCTGGGCAACCTGCCCCCCAGCCAGACGGGCTTGCAGAGAAGGTCTAGAACTGAGAGCGTTGTTGGAGGGACGCCTCCGACCACCAAAAGCAGCAACTCCTATCGCTTCAGAACATCCAGCGAGGGAGAAGGCACCATGGCCAGGCCTTTCAGGTCAGTGACGGGGAGCCTCATCCACCTGAATACCGCAAGGATGAACTTGGGCCGGCAAGAAGGGAGCGGAAGGTACGTTAGAGCCGCGTTCAGTTCGTCATATCACACCCGCTCTGCGTCGCTGCCCGTGTCTCACTTTCCCTCCACTACCAGTCCCATCAGTGTTTCTTCCAGTAGCGGCCATGGCTCTGCTTCAGATATGTTGACCAGGCCTTCTAGCTCCTCTGTCTGCGGTTCCCCGAGCGATGGGGGATTCATCTCTTCTGATGAGTACGGCTCCAGCCCTGGAGATTTCAGGTACTTTCGGGTCAGGAGTAATACACCAGATTCCCTGGGAAACACGCCACCTATCAGAGAGGAGAATTGTCTGAGTGAGTACATGTCCATGAGTAAGCAGCAAACAGACGATAGCTTGAGAGATGATTATATGGAGGCTGAAAAGTGTTTCAGGAAAAGAACTTACTCTCTGACTAAACCAACCTCGGTAGCAGTGCAGCAGAAAATGACACAAACGACGGCTTCATTAGATGAAGACTCTGGGGGAAATCATGGGCGACTGATGTACTCTGAAACACCAAAACTGAAAGGTAACCATGAATTGGAATACAATGACAGTAATCTTGACTCTGTATGCAACCAAAGCAGGAGTAAAGCTAGGGACGATGGGTACATGCCAATGATGCCAGGAGTTGCATCTTCTCTGTCAAGTAGCAGTGATTATCTGCCAATGACTCCTAAAAGTATGTCTGTTCCAAAACAGATAAACAATTCGTGGTCACCATCTCAGGTTGACTCCAGAGGATATATGATGATGTTTCCAAAGGCGAGCTCTTCACCCGTACGAAGTCCTTTAACTGGATTTATTTCTAAAGGAAGTAATGAGAAGATTGTAAACAATGAGTATATGGATATGTCTCCCGGTAATTCCGCTCCAAAGCACCCTGGTGATTCAAATTACATTCATAACAATTCTGTTTCCAAAGGTTTCAGTTCGTATTTTTCTTTGCCCCGAAGCTTTAAGGCGTTATCAGGACAAAATGGTGACCACAGCGAATATGTTCCAATGTCTTCACCTGGAAAACTCCTGTACGGTGGACCAGAAAACGTAAAAAGCATCAACAGCGAAGTCCTGTCTAATGGCATCTCGAAGTCGCCAGTGGTGAAAGGTGAAGAAGGAGGACTTGTGCAGAACAGGGCTACGAGGCCAACGAGGCTCCCGCTCGGTACGAGGGGAAGCAATACTATCCCGAGAATGTATGATCGTACAGTTCCACCTGAGCCAGCAAGTCCTGGTGAATACATAAATATCGATTTTAATGAAAAGGCAAGTAACACACCGTATTCCTTATCTGCAGAGGGATCGCCATCATCTCTGGGCTCGAGTAGTGACCACAGACAGTCCCCGCTCTCTGATTATATGAGCGTTGACTTGGATGTACAGTCGCCAAAAGTAGCGAAAGAACTTTCCAACTCTTTAACGGATATTTCAATTTATGCAAGCTCCAGTATTCCTAGAAACCAACCAAATCCTGACTATGCTAGGCTCTCCTTTGGTACCGCCTGTGTTAGCGCTGCAAGTAACAGGACTGACGATTACACGGAGATGACGTTCAACATGGCAGCGACGCCACCGCGGCCGTTTGCCTCCGAATCTGACGACGGAGTAAAGATTGATAGTCCTTCTTCCATAGTTAACAGACTGTGCATTGTCGATCGATACGCTGGTAGCAGTAGCTTCTCTGTTCCTAGCTCCGATCCTCCCGTGGGACCGAAGGTGATCCGAGCCGATCCCCAAGGCAGGAGGAGACACAGTTCTGAAACATTCTCTTCTGCTGGGACTGTGACGACTTCCTCCTCTTTCTTTACTGATAGTAGCAAAAGACACAGCTCTGCCTCATTTGACAATGTTTGGTTGAAACCAGATGAAAACATTTCTGATGGTCAGGAAAGCAAAATGTCCAGGGATACCTCAACTGGATTTCAGAATGGCTTAAACTACATTGCTCTGAATTTACGCGATGATCCTATAAGCTGTGAGGCAAGTACTGCAACGCCAACTTGCCATCTCCAAAATGGTACTTCGAGTTTGGACAGTGGAGCTTACGTAAGCATAGATTTCACCAGGTCCGATGGTCTGAAGTGTAACGCTGCACGAAAAGGTTTGTAACTTTAAAAGCACTTTCCTTTCATGCTTGCTTAACTATAGGAATTAGATTGTTTACTTAGTACTGAAATGTGGCCTTCAAAATAGGGTCCATGCTTCTATAATCTTCTGTATCTAGTACAACTGGTAGTAGTGCAGTCACCTAAACATTGAATGAACACACAAAAAAGGATGTGGTCCTTGGCCTAAGGGGTATACAGAGTGATGGAACTCTCCTGGGAGGTGTTATCAAACTGTCATCTGCCCAGGCTTTTTATGAAAGAATTTTGCTAGTATAAACACTGATTGTATTTTGTATTGTGACTTCTTGTCCTGAGGTTATGATGTTTTTTTTTTCTTTTCCCCTCCACCTCCTTTTCCTCTTCTTCCCTTCTTAAAACTAAATGACTCCTCACCTGGTTTGAGATTGATACTTTGTAATTGGTGTTGTGGATAGGAAGCTGAGAACTGCTAAACTGGGTTCAGAAATCTGAAGTTGGGGCTTAGATCTGTTCATGTCAATAAATGTGGGTGAAATGTGTACTTCAGGGCTTTCTATGTGTAAATCTGCCCGCATTTATTTAATTGAATCTTAGGTAAACAACTCACTTTTCTTTTTCCCTCGAAGGTTTGCTATGCTGCTTTTGAGTTCTGGTCCCCTAAATATCCTTGTATCCTCAGGAGAAGCCATCTGCTGCTGGCTGGGAGGGTGGTGAGGGGCTTCTGCAGCCTGTACCCTCGAGTCCGCTGCCTTCTTGCAGTGTCTGGGGGCTTAGCCGAGCTGTAATGCTCCTGCTATGCAGTGATCTGCCTTGTGAGGTGCGCCTGTGGTAGAGGAAGAGCAGGCTCAGAGGGGTGTATTTTATGTCTGAAGCTTTGGAGAGCAGGCTGCTAGCTTTCAGGTTGGCAGTAGAGCTTGACCAAGCTTAAGGTAAAGTAGTTAGAGGTATGCCTAAAAAGTTAGGCTGTTGGGGATGGGCAGGAGGAATAGGGACACTCCTATTCATGGCTTAAGCTTTTTGCTCTCATAATGAGAGCAAAAAATAATTACCTGTTGGAGGTATTGTGTATGTCCCCTGCCTAACCAGCAGTGTTTATGCAAGTGCTTCATTGCACTGTAACATTTTCTTTGGAAGCATAATCCATGTTTTGGTATTAGTGGCCCACTCGGCTCCTTAGAGTAATTCACCTACCCAGACAGAAAACTGTGTGTTGGAAATGTTTTCCTCTTTGCAAATGTGTGTGTAGTCAATAATTGATGACTACTAAGAGGAAATATTTAATCGTTGTTGGACATTGATATTTGTCTACTTCTCTGTCAATAGAGAAAGCAGTAAAGGGGCAGGCTGTTCCTGCCTTCTGTATTTTTAATTACAGTTCTAATCACTGAAATGATAGCTTTTTTTTTTTTCCTAGTTTCACTTTAAAACTGTCTAAAGGCAGAAGGTAGTGTAGGAGCTTAAAATTGTGTAGCCTTTAATAGGGGAAGGTGTAAGCCTGACTCAGCTAGCATGCCATTCAAAGTCTGGCAGCAGTGCTTGGGGCTGCTCAGAAATGTGTGGTTTGCCTCAGTGGTTTTTTTTCCCTGCTTTGTTTTGTTGGTTGGAATCAAATTTAGAAGACGTTGAAAGTTGCCAGTCCAAGGAGTGCTTTCTTCCAAAGTTAGTCTTTCAGCACTTCAAAGATTTGTCCGCTAAGTCAAAGGCACACTGATTGCCATGGTGGATTTCTTTTTTTAGAAGAAGCACCCCCAAAGACAGCAGAATTCCTACTGGACCTTGTTCCCCTCATTTGACTGTTAAACTTGTAAAATTTTTTAAAAGCGGGGGAGCACCAAACAGGTGATTTCATTTTGGCTGTATTGTAAATACTGTGTTTAAAAATATTTTTCCAGAGACTGTTCAGGAATTGTACTTAAGTTAAATGATTTGTTTACTGCAGCTACAGCAAAATATCCACAGGCCTGTGCTTGGGGCTTTTTCCTTGTCTATTACAAGGTCCGGAGTGGAAGGAGACTTGCTGCTGGTGTGTTTTGCTGTCAGTCTGTTTTCTGGAAATGGCATGCATTAGAATGAAGTGAGAGAAGCTGCGTATGAAAACATGGACACTGGCAGGAAATAAAGCATGAGAATAGTAAGAGCTTAGATTGGTGGCTTCCCTCTAGTCCTAAAAATGAAAAAGCAAAACAAGAGTGCTTCAAAACAAGGTCTATCAGTTTTTGACAAAGACAGCATCCAGTATTCATGGTGCATAGTAGGAGGGCAGGCAGGGTGTGGACACTGCATTTCTAGGTGCCTCTCAGAGGGGCGGACAGATTTCGGAGTAGTCCAGGCTAAAAGCAGCTTGCCAAACATAAATACAGTGGTGCAAATTGGTGGTGTGTATCTGTTTCTTTAACAATGACTTAAAGTTACTGATTATAAAAATGCTAGTTCTCATTCTCACATTAAATCGGGTTTTTGAGCTATAGCAAGCATAACTGTAGAAGTGTACTCCTTAAACAGCTTATCAGTTTTTAATGCAGTGAAGCTTTTATTCAATACTTAAGAGAATGTGTAATCCAGAAAAAAAAAAAGAAAAAAAACAACTTTCAAATTCCATCTTGAATAGTGGAAATAAATCTCCATTCCTAAACCTCTTATGTCCTGAGGAGGTGCAGTGTGTCCCTAAGTGTAATTAATATTTTTAATACTTTTGCAGACTTTTAGCAGAAGTGCTGTCTATTCCTACATCCCAGCTCTTTTAGTCTTAGCCTGGAAAATCATCGGTGTGGTCAAATACATTGTTAAGGAAAATATTTAGCAGATGCATTTACCCTTTACTTCCCAGGAAGGAGCTATCTTGTATCTTTTAAATTCTATTGGGTAAAGAACTTTAATCTCTTCTCCCTAAACTGTACTTGCACTCAAAGGAGAACACTTCCCAACATCTGATTATTCACTGTTCCGCTTTGTTTTTGTTTGCCTAAATGGGATATTGTGTGCAGTGACTCAACTGCATTCTCCTAACTGCTGAGAGTGAAATGGAGAGAGATTTCCAATGCATCATTGCCCCTCATTGTAATTCCCAAACTACTTCTGGTTCAGGTTCACTGATGTGAATCTAACTTTTTTTTTTCCCTTCTTCATTCATGAAATGGATGGAGGAGAAGGAGAGCACTGATTTAACATGATAAGTAAATACATCTGGCTTGCTGTTAACTTTTATTTAGGGTTTAAGCAAAATTGAGGTCAGGTTTTATGATGAAAAAGATGCTAAAAGGAAAATAAGGTTGTGATCCTTAATGCCTGAAGTTTAAGGAGGTCATTAGCAAAACAGTTTCATCATGAAATTGTTACACAATATTGAAGCAAGCGGTTTGCAGTTTTGATTACACGAATCTGAGTCATGAAATTTTGTGCTAGGAGTACGGAACACAAAAGCTACTTCAAACAGGGCTTAGCTAATGTACACCTTGTTATTGGACCTCGTAGAAACTGCGGATGATAATGAGAATGGGGTGGTAATAAACTGCATAATGGGTCATGTATAATAAAAGTTTCTACAGACATAATTAGAAATACTCAACCTACAAAGATATCCTGAACTACAAAAAACAAAGCAGACTGTTCAGGGTAAATGTGACGTTCAGCTTCGTATCTACCTGCCTATTTTACACCCACTCTTTAATCTTATCTCTACCTGATTTTCTAGTGGCATGTTAAGATGCTATTTCAGAAGTTTGCTAAAGTGTAGGATTATAATTTAAATGTTCCTCACCTTTTTAATCCTTTTTAATCTACTCCTGTGTTAGACTTGTGTGAGAAGTTGTGTGTTCTCTGGGGAGCTGGGAGGCAGGAAAACAAGTACAGCTGTAGAGCAAAACTTTGGGTCTAAGTTGTCCAGATCCTTTATGGGAGCTGGTGTGTTTCAAATGCAGAATCTTGAACATGGTAAACAATATGCACTTTGAGAAACCCAGCAGCTGGAGGTTTTAGCTCTTACTAATATAGTAAATTACAGTTTACAGGATACCAGACAAATAACTGCCCCTTTTGGATTTCAGACCAGTGGTTTTTGGAAGTTTGCTTCAAACTGAGGCTCATTTGTATCGGAGGAATACTTAGGGCAGGGACCCATTTAAAAATAACTTGAAGAACTCTTCTGAAATACATCTGAACACAGCCATGTAGCCTGAATCTTGTAAGCGATGGAGGGATAATAATTCTTGAAAGGAAAAAAAAAATCTTGCTGTAACAGATGCCACTTTAACAGTCTTGAGTGACTTACTGCTATGCTTAAAAATACCCAGGGTAACTTTTTCAAGTAGGATACGAGTTACTGAAGGCAGAACAGATTTTTGTCTTGTGGTGTGGGAGTGAGTTAATTATGACATATTTGACCAAGAATCAGCTAGGTTTTACTGGTGCTTGGGTGAGAAAATCTGAGTTGAGAATGTTCCCCTGCTGCTGAGAGAGAGTACTGGTAGTGAGTGTTGAAATGCTTTTGGAAAATCAGCTCTCCAGATTTTACATCCAGAGTTGCAGCTAATGGTCACGTGGCTTTTTAGACTTTCAAAAAAAGAAAATAAAAAAAATTCTGTGTGTAGCTGTCTCGTAGGTTAAAGCACTGCTGCAGGACACTGGGATTTCCAGGAGAAACCAGTACTGGTTCAAATGGCTTTTTTATTTTTTTCTCCTTCAGTCTTGCAGTGAAATCTTGAATGTGTCATTGCCTTTTCAGTTTTGCCTCCACAACTTCATGCTGTCCCTCCTGTGATGTCCCAGGGCCCATTGCTAGCTGTGAGTACAGCTTGGTGGGGTTTAGGCTCTGCGTATGCCCTTTTTTGTGAAAGGGTATTGAATAAGTTTTCTTCATTTTGATTGCTGGGAAGGGGGGGGTTGTGCCTTGAGGTTTTGGATGGTGCTGAGAGGTCGTCATGCTGTGCTGTGACTTGGTGTGTGCTTGTGCGCTGTTTGTGGGCATGGGGTGCTCCCAAGCACCTGCTGAATGCTGCCCAGTGTGTTGTGCTAAGAA